TTTCTGTAAATTGGAGGCCTGGCTAGACTACAGAGCTAGTTCCAAGATAGTCAGGCCTACACAGAGAAAGTCTATCTCAAAAAACAAAACAAAAATAGAAAGTCAAGGTGGACAAATTTTGTCATTGGACATTACTGTCTTAAGGTATTTAGGTGAACATAAACTCAGAAACAATGTATGGCAATTATGCCTAAAATCCCAACACTTTGGGAGGCTGGGGTAGGACAGTTATGAGTTTGAGGACAGTTAGACTACATAGCTTAATCAAATAAAAATGACAAGTAATTCTTTACATGAAAAATAGTATCACAATGCAAGCTGAATTTTTAATTTTTATTTATTATTATTATTTTACTTTTTTGGTCTTTTTTTAAAGTCCTGACTTTCCTGGAATTCACTTTGTATACATCAGGCTGGCTTTAAACTCAGGGATCTGCCTGCCTCTGCTTCCCAAGTGCTGGGATTAAAGGCATGTACCACCACCACCTGGCTAGCAAGCTGAATTTTTTATACAAATCTGACTTACAAATAAGTACTGTCATTTAGGTATGATGGTTACTCCTGTGATCCCAGGACTCAGGAGAGAGAGGCAGGAGTATCTGGAGTTCAAGACCAGCCTCAGCTATACAATTGAGTTCCTAAGCTACAGGTGACCCTGCCAAAAGAAAGGAAGGAAAATTATTGCCATGGTACTTGTTGCTGTAAGCAGGACTCACAGACCCAAACCTCTGCTTAAACATTTCATCTGTCCTTTTATGTCTCTTAAGCTTGTAAATTAGGTGTTTGGGCGTGTGTGTGTGTGTGTGTGTGTGTGTGTGTGTGTGTGTGTGTGTGTTTACTTTATGCCATCCCCTCAGACCCCAGTCCATGCCTCCCATCCTTTCAGCCACATATCTCATTACAGTTCTCCTGAAGATTAAACCAGCCCTAGCTTGTCTCTTGGCACAACCTCCCTATCAGGGTTATTAGTAACAATCATTGAGCTGGGCTCCTGCTCCTTTTGGTCCTGGACTAAGTGTGCTCTGCTCACCATAGTCCTTCTAACCACCCCCATAAGGCTAGCTGCCAGTGCAACGTGTAACTGTGCCTCTCCATTCCTGATCCCAGCACCCAGCAGGTGACTGGGACACGTGTTTGAGACAAACCTTCCTCACCTAGCCTCCTTACAAAAGCAATATATGTTCTCAGGCAGGTGATCTCAATTGCCTCCCCTACCTGCAAGATAACAGGAGGATAATAATAAACCCTTCATTTCCTTTTACTCTATCTACTTTTTGCAGCTCTGACCCTTGAGCTTGCTTCAATTAGGCGTTATCACCTTCAGTTGAGGCTACAGAGCACCTCTAGGGCTGGTGCCTCCCACAGGATACTTAGACCAGGCATTTTGCCCTGGGTGTTGTGTTAATGCTCCTGGCCAACTGCATGTTCTTGCCAGGGCTTTTCAACTTCTCCAGGCCCTTACTTTCAGCCTGAGATGTTCATTTTCCTATGAGTTCCAGGCAAACCCAGGCATTATCTGTGCTGTCACAGAGTCTCTGCCACCAAACCAACTCACTTAACTACGCCAAACCACTTGGAGCTAGAGACAGCACTCTGGTGTGAAAATGCCTTTTCTGGTACTTAATTGCTCAAACCCCACTGCACACGTCAGCATGGCCTCACAGAGCAATTGTGAGAACTTGTAGCCTGCTCTCACGTGTGAGATTCCTTTCTGGGCACTGAAATGCCACCTCCTTCTGTGCTTTCCCAAGCAGGTCCACTCAAACTTTCTGGAAGGATCCACCTTCCTTTTATTTAGATTGATTAGTCAACCTAATCATACCACAGATCGCAGAAGCATACTCTGAGGTCTAATGATGCCATTTGTTCAGCACCCATCTCCGAATACTTCAACGTAAGGAACCTGTCTCATGTGAATAGGCACCTGTTTTGTGTTCACTTCTCCCACCCCCAGGCTCCTGTTAATGGTACACTTCTCAGTAGCACGGAAGCGAAACCAGCAGGATCTGAATTCTCCTTTTCCTAAGGGAATATCCATCTAGTCCTCTTGAAGTTTCTCAAAACTCAGAAAAAGTAAAGAAAAAGGAAAAAAAAGGTTGAAAATAAGGCAGATGTAACCCATCTTTTTGGTATTCTTCAAATCCAAACACTACTAAAAGAATTGGAATTTTCAGGTGGCCACCAAAAGCAAGCAAGCACCCATTGCCCAAGACCTGACAATCAAGCCTATATACCATAGGATAACATATGCCTGGTTCGCAGTTGTCTAGATGCAGAATCTGACTGAGGCCAGGACGGAAAGAATTCGGGTAACGCAGAAAACAGAAGAGAGTCCCAGACACCCCCAAACACCCTGGCCTCTCAGTTGTCACCTAGACTAACTGCTGAGCCGCTGCAGAAGCGCCAGGCCTGGTCTCCTCCCACCGCGTCTCCAAGGCCGCCCCGGCGGTGTCTCCTTACCTTGCGCGAATACGGGGGCTTGCTCAGGTGGATGCCATCGCGGACCAGCTTATCCCGGATCATGATCTTCAGCTTCAGCTTGGGGTAGCTCACCAGCTCCCTGCTGCGAGGAGCGCTCGCCTGGCCTCGGGGGTCCCCGCGAGTGCCCTGGGCCGAGCTGCCACATGGCTCCCCCCGGCGGCCTGGGGGCACCGTGTCCACCTGCGGTGCGGGTGGCACGGGCTGCGGCTCGAGCGTGAAGTAGAGGCCGGCGGCGGCCGCGTCCTGCTCGCGCAGCCGGCACACAGCCTCCAGGATGCGCCGGCGGTGCGCTGGAGCCAGCACCCCGATGGCGTCCAGGTCCGGGTCTCCGATCTGCTTGCACACTTCCAGGTCATCATAGCCATTATCCACGAAGGATTCGGCGTACTGCGGGAGCTGTAACGCTTTCAGCCACTCGTAAACTATGTTGGTGCACATGGCTGAGACTGGGAACTCTCCGGCGAGTACCCAAGTGGCACTGGCGGCACCAGTTCTTGGAACTTTTAATCCTCTCCTGGAAGGGGGTGGGGAGAAGAAATGGCTGGAAAAGTTTCTCCGTTAGTGGATAGGCTCCGGCCGCAAAGCAAAAGCCATGGGAAGCCGCCTGGGAGAGAGAGAGAGCGCGTGAGCGAGAAGCGTCTAGCAGCGAAGTGG